TGGACTGAGACAACTGAGTTCTGGACTGAGTGACTGGGTTCTGAACTGAGACAGGTCCTGAACTCAGACACAACATCAGTAAAGCAATAAATGGTTGTCCTCGACTCTTCTCCAAATTGATAATATAAAATCACAGAACATGTCGGTTGATGATTAGACATTCTTCTGCAACACCAGGCACAATTGTCACCTTAATTCCCTCGTTCATTATCTACCCCGATGAGCAGGGTTCCATCGTCGTGTAAATTGTAAGAGAGGAGAAAGGCGAGACAGATGATGGATCAAGTGATGACAGTTTTATCAAGCAGCATTCTTCGGCGTGTGTGTTGCCTGGCAGTTTGCGTGAGTAACCAGTTGCAAGTGTTTCATAAGTCTGCGGGTTTACGAAAACCTGACAAGGGGGAAGAAAACCATGGTGTTTGCAAAGAACGGACAACAGAAGACATGTTTGATGTAATTGAATACACACCGCTCCAACACAGTATGCAGTTGGTACTGGTGCTGAAAGCTTTGCTTGTTCTATCGCAAGTCGCATAAATTTCACATCCCTAGGATCTTTCCATTGGTCAGCTATTAGCATGACATATCACTTTTTTTAAAGCATTCAGAACGACTTTTTTACCGTATAACGTACCAGAAGTTTCTGGTATTGATAGAGAGGTCGACATGTTTTTTGCAAGTAACAAAATAATGTATAAATTCTTGTTATTAATGCAGTAGACATGCTTTACGATATTTTGACTAGATTAGAAAAATCGCTATACCATTAAAGAAAAATGGACGACCCGAATAGTAAATAGTGCTGTGAAGATAAATAACTACTGCCGCCGTTAATTTTCTACTCAATCCTGGCTGGGAGTAAACTCGTTAGAACTTCGTAGGCCCTTTTTCGGTTTTAGTATCGGGGAGATATGAGGGTTATGATAATACAACTTTGGCTTGTATATGTTTGTAATGATTTATTTAGACTTGTACAATAATTATACAATCCACGTGTAAGATAACATTGTGAAAACATTGTAACGAATGATTAAAAAAGTTGTGGCTACATAGTACAATGAATGCACAACCATCGAAAAAGGCCTGTCATTAGCTAAATGTCGTGATAATGTTGTTACTATCTTTAACGAGAACTATACAATGCATGGTCAAGCCTTGTGAGGATTTATGGAGTAGAGTAATGTCCACCTAATTCGCATAATTTGGTCCATTCTTTCGGAGGCTGCATTTTTCTGATTTTATCTGGAAGTACGATCGACTGCATCAAAAGACCAGATTCCAAATGCCACTATAGAAGATAAAAAGTTTTAAAATCAGAATCGTATTCATTTTTCATGTATCAATAAAAATCTTTACATACCTCGTAAAAAAAATGAAAAAAAAAAATGAAAGAAAAAAAAATGTTAGTGAATTTATCAAAAAAAAAAAGCAATATTAACATACTGAACAAAAACGGAATGAAACGATAGCGTATCATGTGACAGTGTATTCCCCAGACTCCAGGATTGTCGGAAACAAATCTGATAACCATCCATCTAGAAAAAAATTATATTTGCCTCTGTTTAGTCTGTTTTTATTTTACTAAGGGGACTATTTGTCACCCATTATACGTCATCGGTGAAAGAAAACGCAAACTTTTTTTTTACCCTAAGGCAGGTATTGTTGCAGTATCACGCTTGAGTGGGTTACGTGTATTCAATTTTTTTTCATCAACTTTATTTCCATCTCCGGTTCCAAGTAACCAAAAATGGTTTCCATGCTAAGTTTTTAGGAAAAAAAGTTAATATTTAAATCATTTATGTCAATTAATTAATTTTACTTACCATGTGAAACGGATGGTCGCCCGTGTCAGTATCTAAAAGATTTATTTGTTAATAAAATTATAAAATTAAAAATTCTTATACAATTGTTAATTAATTATACTTACTGATAAAATAAATATCAATTGCTTCTCCATCTTTGTCAAAAGCATAGGCATTTAACCTGGGTTTTTTAATTGATTTCCCTTTAAAGATTTTCTCTAAACTCGGAATAGTTATATCGGGTACATAAGAAGATTCATTAAGGAAAGCCTTAACAACTCCTTTTGTATCATTATGAAAAGCAATTACGAGTTTCAATTTTTTCGTTGATTCAGGAATCTCTTCTTCTTTAAGTGGCTGTAAAGTCTTGTGATGTAGATCAATGCATTCTGTCAAGGAATTAGGCCATGGACTGTCTTTTGGTTTAGAATCATCGGGGGCTCCTTCATAATGTACTATAGCTTTTACAATAGGAAGATTAGCTGCTGCAGCTGGCATGCATGTCTTTTGAAATTTAGCCCGCATTATATAATTATCGACCGGTTGGTTTGCAGTAACAATAACAGAATATCTTTGGGCGACGTTGATGGGAAGATGATGGATTTTCTTTCGCTTGGTATATGCGCCGTCTGCTTCTATAATTTCCATTTCGTGTTTATCAATAGAAAAGAAGAATGCCGAAAATGCGCTAGAAAAATAAAAACATTAGTCACTTTTAATGGGGTTTTTTAATTGCATAGTACGATGATGCAGAGATTACTGTACCTAGCATTAATGATACGAAGGCGGTATTTTTTATTTTGAACAAATTTAAATTTAGCAAGACCGGCATTGTCCACACATTTAGAACCCGGCGGGGCCTTGGAGCAATCAAAGTTATTTTTTCCATTGATTAAACCGTTATCGGGAACTGTAGGTGTAGGAATCGTTCTAATTAGCAACACGCGATCATACCTTTGTACTTGTATCAATTTTTCTTACCTGGCTATTATTAGATAATGAGAATGAATTAATATGAATTAATATGAATTTAAGAATTTTGAAGTAAGCTTCAAAACGTTAAATTTACCTCGTTTCCTTGACTTTGAGGAGTAAAGAAGTGTTTTAATAAAACTTTTGCCTTGGTATGATGATAATCATTCAACATGACAATAATTTCCTCATCATATTCCGCTTTATACGGATCATCAGGATCGTGAATAACTAATAAATTAAATAGAAGTCATAAGTAATTGAAAAAAGTCGATTTAAATTAAATAATTAAACAACTTACTTAACGGGCCAAAAACTCCATCAACATATTGCATTCTTTCATGCGCATGACTAAAGAAATATTATATATAGACAGTGAGTACAGTACATAGGAGTTTAAATAATTATTTTTTTTTGGTCTCATAAATACTCACTACCAAAAAGTGCCAACTTCGTCAGGAACAGTGAAATTGTAGGTGAATTCGTAATCGTCTGGTATAACGCATTGAGTCTGATAATATGTGTCAATCGACGATTGGTCAATATTGAAAGAATATAATTATACGAATCAGTTTTTTCTATAGACTCACAATCCATGGTGCTCCATCGTACCTATATAATGGATCGTGAAATTAGCATGGTCTTTGTAAAAATTAATTCCGGTAAAAAAAAATCACATACCAAGGAGTCCCTCTTTGATGCATCCCATGCGCGTGCATAGCTAATATTTTATTTTGCAAATATGCGCTTAAAAACACGTACAACACATAAAACATGGGACAATATTTGTTGTGCAAATTACCTGTTGGGTTTCCCAATTTATTTTTAATTTTCATCAAAATACGATCTCCTTTGTTAACTTCCATGGCTGGTCCAGGATATTGTCCATTAACGGTTGTTAATTGACGAGTAAACCCATCTGGAGCCAAAGTAACTTCTTCTATAGTAAACTCAAAAATTTTTGTTTTTCCCCGGTTCAAAATTGGGTTGGGCGAGACTATTGTTGCCCAAAAAATAATGCAAAAGAAAAAGATTACACGAGAAGTCATTATTATTATAATTATATGTTAGTTAGAATTAAGGGTAACATGGCCGTATTTTATATCTTTCATTTACCATGTACATGCACCAAAAAAGAAGAAAAAAAGAGAGCTTTTAGAACAGTCAATCGACTGCAGATTAATGTTGTCTTACAACATTAATCAATCGGGTATCGGGCAATGTGCCGAATCTGAATCACAAGGTTGCTCAAGAGTCGTTGTTTCATCAGATTCTAGGGGTATTTTATATTTAGTCTCCTATAGTAATAGTTGCTATATTTAGTCCGAAGCTGCAGTTCATTGAAGTGGCAGCATTTACGTTACACGTAGGAAAATCTAGAAAAACACATGTGTAGCGAACTGCAGCTTCGGAACGATAATGGGACTAAATATAGCACTATTTTTCTCGAAAACTACAATCGATTATCTTCATGTCGGCACAAAAATTGTCAGAATTTGTATAGTAATTATGTACAATATAGCCCTTTCAAGAAAAGATTTGACTAATTGATCAGCAAATTTTTTTTGCACTTCATATATTTTAGGGATGTCATGATTGTGTCCTTGTTAATATTAAAATAACTTGGATTCTTCTATCAAACCATCAGAGAGATCGAATTTCTCTACTCTGATTGGTTTAAATATAAATTCTTTTCTTTTCGAGCTTTTACATAATAACTCGTTTACTATCAAGCGATCAACGAGATCGAATCTCTACTCAAGAACATATTGTCATCATTACATTCTTTTACTTATGGTCTTAGGCACTTGAACTTTTAATTGATGGTAACTGTGACATTTGTTTACCTGCTGTGGAAAGTCGTTGCAGTTTGTTATGTACAGTTTGTTTATTATCTACAATCTTGTGTAATTCAAAGATTAATATTGACAAAAGTTGGGGGGATATTCGTCTAACCGTCATGTGAGACACCTGCAAGATATTTGTTACACCGAAGGCTTTATGAGAGTAACCGTCATGGGACATGTATAATGTAGCTATGTTTACAGCTGAAGAGTGGGCATCGATATTTTTGGTTATATTAGGTATGTCAAGTACATCGAAATTATTCAATAGGGGGGAAATTGTATAATCATAAATCAGGACACAACAGCGACCCAAATATACAAATACGTCGACAAAAAATAAAAATGCCAGCAGATCCAGTATATCATCGGTAGGGTGGTCTCTTACTTTGTTTGGGACACTCCGCAAAACTCGATTTACACCTAGTGGCAGCGTTGATAATTATGTGTTTTCAAAAGCGATGAGAAAAACAATTTAATTTCTTTTAAAGAAAGCGGCATAAATAAAGCGGCATAAATAAAGCGGCACCTATAAAATAAATATGAAAAGTAAGAAACTAAAAAGTTTAGCAATGGCTGTGAGTAACGTATTACTAGACCTCACGTAAACGACAATACTAATACTGTATTTTTAGATATTACTAGTTTTAGATATTAATATCGGTAGCATCACAAACATAGGGGAAGTCTTATATAAAATTCCATATACAGAGAAACCCTCTAAGTGCACACCCGCTAAATGCACACTCTCCCTAAATGCACGGTTTCACATGGTCCCGAGCTTGGGACTTAGTGATAAATGCACACCCCCTCAATCCTGCACGTGCAGTAATTTTTCGGTCCCATCTCTATAATAATAAAGTATTGTTCCCTAAATGCACGCACGTGATTAACATCAGTATTGACCAATCATATTATTACTATTCTCTTTGTAAATGGAAATTTAATCGCTTGTATTTTGTGTTGCACGCATAA